TTGCAAAGTATTTTGTGGGAGATGGCATTGCAAAGTATTTTGTGGGAGATGGAGATTATGTTGTAAGTTTCTATCTAGATGGTTCCTGCGTGAATGTGTAAGTTACTGAGTTCGCATGAAACTGTCACTTCTGATCTCTAGGTCCCATCAGCATTATTTGTTGGTAGCTTTCTTTCTGCATTTATATTAGCATCCATTCCTCTTTGGTTTGTTGAAATTCACCCACCGACACCATTTGTTGGGAAATTTAAGTACTTGTCCCTTACAGCTCTCTTCCTCCCCACCCAGCTGTAGAACTCCCGAGCTCTCAAGGTTGATCAAACAAGGTTGTTCTCATAACTTTCCGGTGTGCAGAGCCCGCCCGTGCCTTGACCCCAGGTGTGGGCGGTGCATGACTTCCTCCTGTGCTTAGCCCATCCCCTGGCTGGGTATATAAGCCCATTACTCTCTGTAATAAAAGGCGCAGCTTCCTCTTCACTTCTGGTGGTCTGTTAAGTGTTTCAGTCCCGACACCCTCGCCAGCTGGGAACTCAGCACCGTTTATTCTCATCTTTAGGTCATTTTGGTTTTGGTGGTAGAGACTCCTTCAGAAAGACTTCCTCCCTCCTCTCCCCTCCCCCCTTCCTGTCTCCTCCTCTCTTTCCTCCTCTCCCCTCTTCTCTCTCTTCACTCCTTCCTCCTCCCTCCCATCCTCTCTCTCCCCCACCTTTTTCCTCCCTCTTCTCCCCCCTCCTCCTTTTCCTTAGTTTTTGACTTTGCTATTTAAAGGACTAAATTTCCATTGACATGGCTCAGAGGGCTGAGATACTCACCTCCCTAGGACCTACATTGTAGGAGGACAGAGCTGACCCCCTCAGGTTTTCCTTTACCTCCACACAGGCCCCATTACACACCGCGCACACACACACAGACACTACACACACACACACACATATACACCACACACACAGACACACACACATATACACCACACACACAGACACACAGACACTACACACACACACAGACACTACACACACACACACATATACACCACACACACACACACAGACACTACACACACACACACATATACACCACACACACACACAGACACTACACACACACACACACCACACACACAGACACTATACACACACCTACACCACATACCACACACACACACACAGACACCACACCACACACACACACATACCACACACATACACACACCACAAACACATACCACACACACACCACAAACACACACACTACACACACATACAATACACACACTACACACACCACACACACAGACACCACACACACACACACCACACACAGACACTATACACACACCTACACCACATACCACACACACACACACTACACACACATACACTACACACACACACTACACACACACACACCACACATACACTACACACACACATACACTACACACACTACACACACATACACTACACACACACCACAATACACTACACACATTACACACACATACACTACACACACACCACAATACACTACACACACACACACACAAATTGGGGGGAATCAAACACATTTTTAAAAATCCACCAATTTTTTTAAAAGAATTAATTCTTAGGGACAAATTGCTATTTTGACATCGGCTTACGTTACTGTTGAGATAGCTCAAACACAAGGAATTTAATCTTCAGAGAACAAGACGGGAGGACGGAAGCAAACCCAGCAGCTTTAAGTCTCGTACGTTTTGTTTCTTTTCCCATGGCACCCTAGCATCGGAACACGCTTGGCTAACTACCTCGGACACAGTTCACAACGAATCTACCAGCTTTCTGCCCAGGGTCTAGGCTGTGCAGAGCAGGACAGAACTCAGATGGTTTAACTAACTTCCAGATTACGGCTAGTTTGTCTGGGGTGAATTGACAGAGACGCAGCTCCACTCAGCCACCCTTAAAGCCTGTGTTGGCTTAGACTTGTGGGTCACGACCCTTTCGACAAACCTCTGTCTCCAAAAATGTTCACGTTACAATTCATAGCAGTAGCAAAGTTACAGTTATGAAGCAGCAACAAAAATGATTTTATGGTTGGGGTCACCGCAACGTGACAAACTATATTAAGGTGCCCAGCATCAGGAAGGTTAAGAACCACTGTCTTAGGGTTTTAGGGACCCTTACTCAGGGCAAACTGGGATTCATGGCTTTGACACTGGAAGGAATTTCGGGACTGGCTAGCAAAGTGAAGCCGAGCTGAAAGTCTCCTGTTTGCTCATTACTCACCTAGTCCCTCCTTCCCCATCCTGCTTGAAGGTGACAGATCTATGTAGATAGAATCACATGGCAAATTCACATATACATGCACATGAATACATAGACGCATGAGTACATACACACTTGAATACATACACACATATGAATACATACATAAGTACATACACACATTAATACACACATGAGTATGTGTGAATACATTTTAATACATGATTATACACACATCAACATATTCTTGCATGAATATATACACACATGAACAAACACGTATTAATATACACACATATATAATTTTTTTTTGAGACATGGCTCCAGGACAGCCAGGGTAAAAGAGAGAAACCCTGCCTTGAGAAAACACATACAGTTCTCTGTCCCCTAAAAACACAATTTGTGTTGATAATACCACTCAGTGGCATAGTTTACCACACAGGGTCCTTTTTTCAGGTTCTTAGTCTCATAGATAAAGGCCTTAAAAACAGCCAGCTGTGGTGGTATACACCTTTAGTCCCAGCACTCAGGAGGCAGAAGCAGGCAGATCTGTGTGAGTTCAAGGCCAGCCTGGTCTACAGAGCCAATGCCACAAGAGGCTCCAAAGCTACACAGAGAAACACTGTCTTGAAAAAAATTGTTTACTTGTACTTATGGGTATGTTTGTATGTGTCTGTTTGTATGTACGCCATGTATCTGCAGTTCCCTCAACAGCAAAAGAGGGTATTGGATCCTCTGTGGGGTGAGACACCCAACATGGCTCTAGAACCCCAACTTGGGTCCTGTGCTAGAACAGCAAGTGCTGTCAACCAATAAACCACCTATCCAACCTCTGGTGTAGTTTTGTTTCTCTGTGTGGCCCTGGCTGTCCTAGAACTCACACTGTAGCTTGTGTTGGCCCCAAACTCACAGAGATCTGTCTGCCTCTGCCTCCTGAGTGCTTAAAACTGTGTGTCACCAACTTCTTTATGTAGTATTTTAAAAATTCCAGCTGTTCGGAGCTTTGTTGCATGAGTTTATTTACTTATTTACAGATTGATTGATTGATTGATTGATTGATTGGCTGATTGGCTTAGAGACATAGTTTCGCTCTGTAGCCCAGGCTGGTCTCAAACCCACAACCTCCTGCTTCAGTCTCCCAAGTGTTGGGACTACAGACATGCAACTTCATCCCTTATGTTCACATTGTCTACGTTTAACTTCTGTTGATTGAGACAGGCTCTCCATATGTAGCTCTCTGGCTGGCCTGTAGCTTTCGATCTGCCTGCTTCTGCCTCGGTACCAATTAATTAGAGTGATTTCCCTAGTTACCTGGATCTCTCTCTGGCCTTGGGGTGCTCGGTCCTTCCGTCAGTCCATGGCTTAGGACTGCAGTGTTTTAATCACAAAGCCGGTACAGTGTGCCTTGGTAGTTGGTAGGATTAGGCCTATCTGATGGTTTTTTGTTCTGGATTCCTGGGTCTTCCTACCTGTTCATTCATCTTTGGTCAGCTTAGTGACAATTTTCGGTTAAATAACTATTTTGCCATTTGTATTAGAAGCACACTCTGTGTATAAACTGGTATGGGGGACTGACAATGGTTCTTTACTTGACTGGAGGCGGAAGTGAGCATTGCACCCCCTGGAACTAGAGTAACAGGTGTCTGCAGATGACCATGTGTGTGTACTGAAAATCAAACCCCGGGCATCTGAAGGAGCGTCCAGTGCTTTTTAGGGCTGAGCCTTCTCTCCAGCCCCTGGATGTTACCTGTCTTAGTCAGGGCTACTACTGATGTGATGAAGCTCCCTGAGCGAAAGCAAATTGGGGAGGAAAGGGTTAATTTGGCTCACACCTCCACACCACTGTTTGTTATTGCAGAAGTCAGGACAGGAACTCAAATAAGACAGGAACCTGGAGGCAGGAGCTGATGCAGAGGCCACGGATGGGTGCAGGTTACCGGCTTGCTCCTCGGCTCAGGGATGGCCCCGCCCACAGTGGGCTGGGCTCTCCCACACCAGCCACTAATTAAGAAAATGCCCTATAGGTTTGCTTGCAGCCCATTATCTCTGTTTCCTCAGTTGCTTGTTCCCTCTTCCCCGATGACTCCAGCTTGTGTGACGGTGACACAACCAGCCGACACAGCACCTCTTCCATACCTGTCCTATGTGGCAGCCCCCACCACACCACCCTCCCATGCTGCTTGTGATGCTTATGCTGCTAACAGCTCCACGTATTACCTAAGGTTCCTTTTTACCTTTTAAAGATTTGCTTATTTACTATGTATGCAGGGTTCCGCCTGCATGTGCGCCTGCACACCAGAAGAGGGCGCCAGACCTCATTGCAGATGGCTGTGAGCCACCACGTGGTTGCTGGGAATTGAACTCAGGACCTCTGAGAGAGCAGCCAGTGCCCTTAACCTCTGAGCCATCTTTTTAAATTATGTGTCCACGTGTGTCTTTGTGTGGTTGTGTGCGTGTGAGTGCAAGTGCTGCAAAGTGCAGAAGAAGGCAATAGGTCCACTGGGGCTGGAGTTGTAGGCTGTTGTGGCTGCCTAACATGGGCACTGGGATCCAAACTCAGGTCCTCTGGAAGAGCAGTGTGCACTCTTAACCCCTGGGCCATCTGTGTAGCCCTCTGTAGTGAGATGTCCACCTTGCCTGCAGCTGTTGCGCTGACCACGCCCATTGATGCGTGGGGACAGGTGGGGGCTTGATTGGGATGTGGGGGGGGGCTAGGTCTGGGGTCTGGTACCTCAGCTCGCTCTTTTACTTCCTGGTCGGAGACAGAGAGCATCCAGAGGCATCCTTGGAATGGGAACCTCCGGCAGTCATCTGTTTCTGGTGTAAGTGATATCTCCCCCAATAAACATCCCTCAATCAACCTTTTGCCCTGGAATTTTATTTTCCCACGTTTTAGCCATCATCATCACCGTCATCATCACCATCATCATCATCATCATCATGTTTCCTTTCAGTGTTGGATTGGAACTTGCTAGGCAGGCTTGCACCACCGAGCCCCTCTTTTCCGATCCCGTAGTCAGAGTGAAGCCACGAAATGGGGCTCAGCTAGGCTGAGTTGACTTTGGGCGGACCTGGACTTGGGAAGGACTTGGGCAAAGGATGTTTCTGCAGTCCTCTTGTTTTCTCTCCTGCCTGACTGAATGGGGTGGCCACCCCTGCAAAGCTGAGGTGATTGATAGGGCAGCAGGGGCCGCAACTATCAGTCTCCAGATCAGAGACGTGGCGGTGGTGGTCGGCAGCAGGACCCTCTCCCAACATCACCTGCTAGTCCCAGAGTTATCCAAACCAGCACACGGGAAAAGGGTGACCCCGGGCACCGGGCAGAAGCACGCTTCAGCCAGCCTCCCTGGAGGCCACCCTGGTGGGGAGGGGGGGTAAACCTGCTTGTCCTGCCCAGCTGCACCTCGGGATGCCCTCACAGCTTGCATTGTCCTCGGCAACTTCATCCTGCTCAGCCCTGAGCCCCATTGTGCTTTGGAGCGGCTCTACTCTGCAGGAGCGCTGCCCCGGCCAATTACTCCAAAGCAAATTTCACCACTTGTCATTTGAATCCCCTTCCCACCACAAGGAGAGGCAATCCGCGCGCTCTCAGGCGCTCAGCTGCTGCCCCCTGTCGGCTGGAGCCGCCACTGCACTATTTGAGCAAATCCCAAGCCCTTTGGCCCCGTGCTAGGTGTCAAGTCTAAATAGTTTTTGTTGGTAGTGGGTTTTTGTTTGTTTGGTTGGTTATGTGTTGTTTTATTTTTCTTCCATCCACTACCAAAGCGCCTCAATCTGTTCTTTAGTGTCATTTTAGGTCTCAGAGTCCAAAATCCTCAAACACAGAGTTTGAAAAGTAAGGTATGAACAAAATGGCTCATGGCTTGGCTCAAATCCTAAGTATGGGGTTTGAGCAAGAAACTCGCAGAGCCTGCAGTGACTTTCCAGAGAGCGCCAAAACGTCGGTCTCACAGCTATTCTTGGGACTCTGGAAGGGATTGGAGCAGGTTTGAGTCCTGGGAGATGGCTGGGGACATCTGAGGATGCCCTATGCCATGTGTGATCCAGGAGAGTCCTGCAGCCTGGCTGGTTAGTTCTTCACCATCGGATTTTCTGGACGCTGGTAGAGCCAGATGATGCCTTCATCGTGTAGCCGCTTCCAGACGGTTCTCTCCAGCTTGAAGTCATGGTTTATGTAAAAGACCAGGCGTTTCCACACTTTATCATAGTAGTGGTCAGAGAAGCGCTCATGGCCCTGGGTGATGAAGCCATAGGCACTCACCTGCATGGGGATTGGAGGGGGAGCTGGGCTCAGGGGCTGTTCAGGGGCTTACTTCACGGGACCTGTGTCCCTTTATCCTTTAACCTGCTTGTGTCCCCTAGGGACGGGTCTACATGCAGGTTCCTTGCGTGCGCATGGGTGGGCATGCCCACTCCCTGTTCCCGTTCCCATCAGAGATTTGCGTCCACCCTCTGAGGCACACTCGGCGACCTTACCTTGTCACATAGATGAAGGGCGGTAAGGAGCAGGAGGGCACCCGTGGTGGGGCGGTATATTCTCCAGTGGGCAGTGTCTAGGGTCTTCGACCTCAGAAATCTGTTCAGAACCCAGATCCCCAACAGTCAGGAGACTGCAAGGATGAGAGGTCCACAGCCCCTCCCTCCCCTTCCCCTCCCCCTCCCTCCCCACCCCCTCCCCACGTGGCCTTCCTGCCCTCACCTGTTCTTCATGTAGCGGATAAAGTCTGGGTGCAGCAGCAAGTATCTGTCTAAGTCCAAGGCGTCCCGGAAGACTTCCTGGGGCCTGTGCCTGTGTCAGGGATGGATCACTCGGGACCTGCTCTCTGACCTGGCCAGTTGGGGGCCAAGTCAGGATCATGGCGTGACCACTACCCTATCTCCAGGGGGCACACAGGCAGTCCCACCTGTCGTTTGAAGTCGGCCACTCCCTCCTCAGCCTGGCCTGCTCTTTGGGGGAAGAGGGAAGTGGTACCTGAACCAGGAAAGTTTGGTTTTTGCCATGGTCTGATTCATAAACATTGCTTCTAGCCACTCGTAGTCCCGGGTGCCTTCCAGGAAGTGTAGATATCGGACATCCTGGAGACCAAGGACAGCAAGTGGTTCAGGAGGACTGTCTTGACCACTGGGCTGGGCGTGGCCCGGCTCTGATTCCAGACTGTGCCCTGGGTCTCCCATGGCCTGAGTGGCTCACTGCTCTTCCCCCATGTGAACGGAGCTTGAGGTGGTCCAGACTCCATCCATACACAAGGCATTCATATGTCTCCTCTGTGACTCCCTCATCCAGAGGCCGTGTGGCCACGCCCACTCCTGCCTTCTCACCTTCCCCAGAGGTACGTGCTGGAAACCTCGACCACCCAGGGTGAGGATCGACTGGACTATGGAGAAGGCAGTGAAGCCGTAGAAGGATGTCCGCGTCCCCACGTCCTGCTCATACCCTTTAGTAATAGCGCCACTCAGTCTACATAGGAAGATCAGAGTAGATGGTGTGGAGGAGAGAAAATTGTGGAGGTGGGTGAGAAAGGACGGGGTAGGGGAGGCAGAGTTGTGGACACACACTATTTTCATGTAAAGACATGGGGACACTTGTCAGCTCTCCCATAATAGTCCATATCTACGGGCTGGAGACGGAGAACATACCGGAAAACATAGTCGTGGCTGTCTATCTCCTGGCCCACATGGGAGTCATTGAGGATGCCCCCGTTGCCCACTACGGCACAGGTGATGCACCTGGAGCTCCCTGAGGGGAGGCCGGCCAGGAGCAGCTGCTGCTGGGGTACGGGACGGAAGCGGGTCACGACTTTCTGTACCACTGGAACAGAGCAGGGCTCCGTGTTCAGAGTCCTGGATGGGGCAGACCCCACACAGGAAGCCAGCCGCCCTCTGCCCTGAAGCGTGCACTCACAGGACTGGTTGAGCTCCATGAAGCCAAAGGGCGGTGCAAAGTGCTCCAGACGGTCCCACTCGCTCTGGGTGAAGCGTCCAGAGTCCAGGAAGAGAGTGAGGTTAGGCAGAAAGATATTCTGTAGCCACGGTGACTTGGAGGCCCTGATCTTCACAGAGTCAGGACAGGTCTATGTTTGGGAGGTCATGTCAGGCAAGGGACTGACCCAGGAAAGTCATCAGCCTGAGGCTAGCTGGGCCCCATCAGCTAGGGGTGGGGCTGGGCTTTAACAGTTTGAAAGCTCCTCCCCTACTCCATCTTTCATTCTGGAACCCATGCCTGGCTGCCTAACTCTTCATGGCTGGTCTACCTTGGCCCCAGAAACTTCCTGGGTAGCTATACCCTTGCAAGTCTGTGTTGGAACTTTGATCTTGTTCCATGTATATCCACAAACAGGTTTTCAATATTGCCCTCCTGGGCAGGGGTGACAGTTTAGGGATGAATGCTTGCAAGTTTTCTTGAGCCTGGAGGAGAGTGGGGGGCCTAGAGGGGGCTTTCCAGGGATGCCAGCGTTCCTGGGAGGGCAGCAGCTGGGCACAAGGGTATCATCCTGTCCATCAGATGGATTTGTGTCTCATACCCAAGAACTGGCCCACCCTGCCCCACAGATTGCTGATCTGCCCTAGGCCTTTTTCAATGGTTCCAAGGCAAACCCTCCCCACCCAGGCCTTTCTGAGCTGTCCAGACCTTGACTCTGGGGTCAGCCTTCTCCTCCCTTATTTTGGCTATCATAGGAAGGAAGGATTCGCCAATTGCTGTGTTGGCCGAGCACAGGGCCGGTCAAGGTAAAAGTGAAAGCTGGGCCTAGAGGAAGGGTCTGCTTGGGGTGTGGCTGGGGTGTGGGAGGTGAGGAGGTCCCAACTCACCGTCCGCAGGCCCCCCACGTCCAAACTGTAGTCTTCCTCAAAATCCCACTGAGGCTCAGACTTGAAGTTGGTGGCCTTCAGCCTTTGCCTTCTTTGTGCGGTGGGGTAAGGGAAAGAGGTGGGGGATGGCTTGACCTGGGCCACCTTCTCCTCTGCTGGAACAGCTCCAGTGCTGGTGGCTTTCTTTCTCGGCCTTGTTAACAGTGCTCCTGTGGCTGTCAATATTCTTCCCGGGGTTTCTGGAACAAGCATCCTCGCTGCAGGCTCTGCCTTTCTGTTCTCTTCCCTCTGTCCTCTGGCTACCTCACCGGTCTGATTCTGCCGGCCCAGCTTCTCTGTCCTGACAGGGATCTTGTCCTTGATTTGAGCTCTTGGTGGCAGCCCCATGGTGGGTGTGTGGGGTCGGGCCTTTTCTAGCATCTTCTGAGACTTTTCTTCTTTGTTCTCCCTTATAAACTGATACCTGGACACAGATAGCTCTCGATGAAGGTTGGATGTCATACAGACAGGCCAGAACCGTCGCTAGCAGGCAGTGAGATGGCTCGGTGAGTAAATACATGCATCCACCTTATCATTTCAGGCAGGGTTTCCCACTGAACCTGATGCTTACCATGTAGCTAGATTGGTGGGGAGTGGGGGTATGTGTGTGTGTGTGTGGGGGTGGTAACCAAACCCCAGGAATCCTGTAGGTCACAGGCTGGTGCCTATGGGTGCTGGGATCTGAACTTAGAGCCTCATCCTTGTGGGACAATTGCTTTACCCATCTGGGCCATCTCTCCAGGCTCTGTTTTTGTAAGTCTGTTGAAAGCATCTGTATGGTATGCATGAGAATGGATCCACATACACCCCCAATTAAATGTTTTCTTCTGTAAGTTGCCTTGGTGATGGTACCCCTTCACAGCAATAGAACAGTACCTAAGACAGCACCCTTCCATTGTGTAGCTGGCATCCCTGCCTGTTTTGTGTTTCTCTGACTAGGCTTCTGGACCATTGTGTTATAGGGGTTTCGAGGGGATCCCTGGGAGTGTGGGGAAGAGACCCTCTCTCTGCCTAGTCTGGCCATGACCCAGATGGACTTCCATGTTCTCAGTTCCTGTTTGTGTGCCCCCCTCCATCACAGCCTCCTGTTCACCTTGGGTACGTATCTCAAGCCCTGTCTGCTCCTTCCACTCTTGGTTTGTCTGGTTTTGTTTTTGGAGACAGGGTTTCTTTGTATTGCTTTGGAGGCTGTCCTAGAACTCGCTCTGTAGACCAGGCTGGCCTTGAACTCACAGAGCTCCGCCTGCCTCTGCCTCCCGAGTGCTGGGATCAAAGGCGTGTGCCACCACTGCCTGGCTTTGCTCCTACCACTCCTCAGCTGAATGCAGGAGACTTACCGAGGCCGTGTGAAGGAAAAAAGAGGATGAAATGGACAGACGCACAGATCTGAGAGTCTGAGCACCTCGCTGAATCCTGGCTCATCTCATGGCTTTTTCCATCTGAGCAAAGCCTGCTGGCATTACCCACCAACATGCAGCAGGACATTGGGTGCAAACTGCAAACACAGGGGCTGGCAAGAGGCTCAGCAGGTGAAAAACACCGGCTGTCAAGACTGACAATCTGAGTTGGGTCTCTGAGTTGGAGGGAGAGGACCAATCCTCCAAGCAGTCCTCTACACGCAGGCCTTTGCCTGTGTGCCCCTTCTCCCTGAATAAAGGAGAAAAATGGCCAAGGGTGGTGGTGTGCACCTTTAATCCCAGCACTCGGGAGGCAGAGGCAGGTAGAGCTCTGTGAGTTCCAGGCCAGCCTGGTCTACAGAGTGAGTCCCAGGTTATACACGGCTATGTAGTAAAGTCCTATCTCGAAATAAATAAAAGCTAGATAGCTGGCTCAGCAGTTAAGAGCATATGCTGCTCTGGCAGAGCCAGGACTCAGTCCCAGAGCTCCGGTGGTGGCTCACCACCACCTGTAACAGCTCCAGGGGATTGAGAACCTTCTCCTGGCTTCCTCAGACGCCAGGCCTGCACACTGTGCACTTAGACTCATGCAGGCAAAAACAATTGTACACATAACATTTTTAAAATAGCTGGTCAGTGGTGTCACTTGCCTTTAACTCCAGCACTCAGAAGGCAGAGGCTGGTGGATCTCTGTGAGGTGAGTTCGAGGCCAGCCTGGTCCACAGTGTGAGTTCCAGGACAGCCAGGGCTGCTAAACAAAGAAAACCTGTCTCAAAAAACCAAACATGTATATATTTAACAAGTATTAGTTCCTTCCCTCTCACACTCATGTTTTATTTGAGACGCGGAGTCATGTAACCCAGGCTGGCTTCTAGCACACCGCATAGCCTCATTCCCCTGTGCCCTCTCAAGCGCTGGGATTACAGCCATGCCACTAGGTTCGGCAAGGAAGTGGACTCGAACAAAAGCTTGTGAGCTATGAACAGAAGAGCGGTTAATCTGCTTTTTTGTTTTTGTTTTGTTTTGTTTTGAGACAGGATCTCTCCTGTAGGTTTGGAGCCTGTTCTGGAACTCACTCTGTAGACCAGGCTGGCCTCAAACTCACAGAGATTCGCCTGCCTCTGCCTCCCCAGTGCTGGTATTAAAGGTGAGCGCCACCACCACCCGGCTGAGCAGTTAATTTGAAGGTATTGAAGCAGTTAAGACACTCAAGCTCACCAGAAATGCATTGGTGACCCACTAAGGGAAGAAATCAAGACACTTCCCACATCCATCTGATGCTTGAGCCTGAATCTGTGCCTGCCTGAAGGCTGCCTTGTGAATCTGTCCCTAGCTCTGAGACCCTCAGTGTGTCTGTCCCCAACAAAGGGCTTTGTTCTGTCTTTATTGGATGGCACAGAAATCACCACACAGGGAAGGAATGGGTACTCTATAAAAATCTTCAGCAGTTTTACAAGAGATTCAGTCATTGCCTCCAACAGACCCAACTTCCAGTGTTACAAATGTCATTGTTTATCAAGCAATATCCAAGTGATGTGTTCAACATTTTATAAGATTGCTTCCAACCTCTATGTTTATTGCATTCAGGAAATGAATTGTTCTCTGGGTCAGAGACACCAAGGAGTACCTAATTTAGGCTTATAGCTATACACTTGCTCAGGTTGTAAAAGTTGGTCATATGGGAAATTGGAAGCACATAAGCTTGTTACACTGTTACATACTTGTTATATTGATATATAAAAGGCGGGTTAAACAGACTGAGTACACAGTAGAATAAACAGTCTTATGTGAGGTGTAAGACTAACTCTGGCTGTGAGTTCTGGGTAAAGTTCCAATCTCTCAGATGTAAGAGACATTTTTGTAGTATTGCCACCGAGGACATAAGAAAGAAGATGTCACTCATTTTCTGTTCACTAAATGTCTTTTCTGTGCAGGGTAAGCTGATATCCATACACATATAGACTGTAGATCTGAATAAGGTCAGATGTCAGGGCTGGGCAGTCGGGGATCATTGCTGTCAGAGGCAGAACATTAGGTGGACCCTTCTGCTCTGAAAAATTGGGGCCTGTGAAGTGGGGAGAACCTCAGCTAAGCTTTTCTGGGTCCTTCCTGCCTTCCCTCCTCAGCTGGGGTGCGGGGCAGGAGAGGGGCAGAGTGGTGGTGGTGGTGGTGGTGGTGGTGGTGGTGGTGCAGCTGTTTGGTTACATTGTATCTCTTAATTTCCTAAACTAGGGGAAAAAAGTGACTTGTTCTAATCTTCCAGGGAGGGCAGTTAATGAATAAAGACCTAATTCTCTCTCTCTCTGTTTTGGGTTTTCAAGAGTGAGATAGTCCTTCTGTGGCACTGACCACGCCCATTGGGGGGTGGGGCGATGGGCGGAAGTGACCTGTGGAAGGAGGTCGGAGGGGGCCAGGAAAGGCGCTCTCTTTCTGGCGTGACTGGGACAGGAGAGGATCTGGTTGAATTTCCTGGTGTTCATCTGTCTAGGTTGTAAGTTATTTCTCCCTGAATAAACATCTATTCGGCCTATTTGTTTATCCTGATCTTATTTAACCGCGATACAGGATTTCTCTGTGTAGCTCTGGAACCTGTCCTAGAACTCACTCCATAGACCAGGCTGGCCTCGAACTCACAGAGATCTACCTTCCTCTGCCTCCTGAGTGCTGGAATTAAAGGTGTGCCCATCACCACCAGGCTACTTTTATTTTTAAATGATGTTACTTCTGTGTGTGGGTATATGCACAGGAATTCAGGCACCCACAGAGCTTGTTTTGGGTGCTAGAAATCAAACCCAGATCCTCTGCAAGACCAGTGCTCAATCTTAACTGATGAGTCTGTCTAGCATGCATATTTGTACAGATACATACATGTATATGTATTTACATAAACACACACAGGCTTTTTTTTTTTTTTTTTTTTTTTTTTAAAGTAAGACAGATTTCATGTGCCCCAGGCTGGCCTCAAAACCACTGTGTAGCCAAGGATGACTTTGAACTTCTGTTCATGCTGCCTGCACCTCCCTAATGCTGGGGTAACAGGCATGCACCGCTATGCTCAGTTTGTGCAGTGCTGGAGATCAGACGCATGGCTTCAGGCCTGCTGGGCAAGCCTACCGACTGAGCTACGTCCCCAGGAGTGGGCCTTCTACACTAAACAGCTCACAGCTCACAGCACAGAGGAACGATTGTATGGGAAGATAACGAGCCCCTCTTTGGAAGCTGTTTAGAGGCAAGAGTGGGGCAGTGGCTGAGGGCTGTTCCGTCTGTAGGTGCTCTGGTGACTCTGTGACCTGTTTAAATTTTATAAGAGGTCGAAGCCAGGAGGTGGTGGCACAGGCCTTTAGTCCCAGCCCTCGGGAGGCAGAGGCAGGTGGATCTCTGTGAGTTTGAGGCCAGCCTGGTCTACAGAGCTAGTTCCAGGACAGCCTCCAAAGCAAAACAGAGAAACCCTTCCTCGAAAAACAAAACAAACAAAAGCAATCTGATTACATAATCCTGATCTACATGGAAGATAAAGATACAAGATATTGCACTCCAACGTAAAAGTGTTAGGACTGTTGGTAACAGGCTTGCTGCTTAAGCATAAAGACTCAGTTTCAACACTCAGCACCTCCACAGAGCTTGCTGCCCTGAGGGGCAGAGACTAGAGGATTCCTGGTAGCACCAGGACCCTCATTGCTTAACCAAGGGCTTTCTTCCTTGGGACACACACACTGCCTGGTCTTACACAGAAAGCACTCACGGGCCATCCACTGGAGCCAGCTGGCAAGTTCTAGGTTCAGGAGAGAACCTATCTGGGAAAAAATCAAGTAAGGAATGATTGAGGAAGGTGCTTTATGTCCACCTACAGTCTCTACACCAGTGCCCGACCATGAAGACCTTTGTCTCCTTTCCCAAGAGGGCCACACGGAATCAATCTTCTTCTGCTTTTCACTATTACTTTTTTTTTTTTTAATTTTGTTTCAGTTTTTTTTTTTTTTTTTTTTTTTTTCTAGACAAGGTCTCACTATGTTGCTCTAGCTATCCT